CTTACAGTAGTAAATATATTGTTGCTCAAGCCCCTTACTTATCAGTTCTGGAGTCAAATAAAGTTAGGAGGGCGTATACTCTGGCTAGATGCTCTGCTTTACCTTCTGCAGTTCTCAAGGGTAAATTCAAGAAAACTCCCCGAAATGAGAGGCTATGCATGTGTGCGTCGGGGGAGATAGAATCCCAGGAACATGTCTTCCTGAGATGCCCATTATATAACGAAGCTCGCACAAAATGTTTTGGTCCCCTCTTGTTTGGCTCCTCTGATCAGGATAAGATAGAGAAATTACTTTCAAATCCTGACCATACAGCGATACACCAGATAGCGAAATTCTGTTTTCTGGTTGTAAAAGCTCAATCAGTGTTCAGGTAGCCACTTGGGTTAGATTCCCTCCCAAATAACTGATTTTTTTTATTCTCGTTCTTTTATCTTTTTAAGACTAAATTCTGTCCTTTTTACATTGTATTGTTGGTTTTAGATTTTAAAATGCTTGTATAATTTTACATAAATAGATTCATCATCTGGATATTTTAGACATTGAAATCTAGACATTGCAAAATTTTGCTCCTTGGTCGTAAAAGCTCATCAGTGTTCTGGTTGTCACTTGGGATAGGACTGTTTGATTTTAAATCTTATTGCCTTTTTTGTCATTCTATTTTACTCTTTTTAAATGTGTTTCATTGCAGCGTATTCCTAAGTCTGGTTTTAGTGATCAAAATGACTACATAATGTTGTTCCTTCCTGTTGTTTTTAAGGTAGTTTTACCATTTGGTTATTGTAAGTTACTTCTATGGTTTTTTATAATTGCTGGCTATGCGCTGTAACAATAAAATTCATTCATTCATGGTTCCACTAGACTCAAACTTTGTTGTGCTGCTTCAGACCAACACAGCTACCCCACCTGAATGACGCTTTATTGTTTGTTAGCTGCCTTGGGAACTATTAAGAGTACAGGGGATGTTTTAAATAAACAGTAGTCTAAGATGGAAAAGTGAAGATGTTATGTATACTTCATTAAGTTAGACTTACTGAAGACTTGTGACTTAAGATTTGTATAGTGCTTTCAGGGTTCAAAACATGTACAGTATCACAGTATTCCTTAGGACAAAATTATCATTCCCCATTGTAGATGGGGGCTAGGGTTGCCAATTTCCAGGTGGCACCTGGAGACCTGCTATTGCAACTGGTCTCCAGATGACCAAGAGCAGTCCTCCTAGACAAAATGGCTGCTTTGGAGGATGGACTCCATGACATTATACCCTGCTGAGGTCCTTCCCCTCCCTAAACCCTGCCCTCCCCAGGCTCCTCCCCCCCCAAATCTCCAGGTATTGCTCAAGCCAGAGCTGACAGCTCTAGGGACCACAGATTCAACTGCATGTGATGCTGGGGATTTCATGGATGATGCCTCCAACCAGGGGTCATTTCGTAGAAAAAGAGGTGTAGGAGCTCATTAGCATAACTTATTTGCATATGCAACACCCCCTGACATCATCGTGTCAGAAGGCAACACCCACCGCTCAGGCTCCACTAGACTGTTTTGGATTGCTAGCTATTGGGGGGGGGACGTGCAGATCTGTCCTCGCAGAGGAGGGAGAGCTTGTACCTGAATAAAACTTGGTCTTAAAGGTGCCACTGGACTGTTTTGGACTGGGGGCCAGGGGGGTGCTCTGGAGCTTACCTGGTTGCTTCTTGCTCTGACTGAGGGCTGCTGGGAGCAGGGGTGTGTGGCTTGTTGCATGTGCCCACCCCCTGGGCTCTTTACTGCCGGAGCTCCGCTCCTGTGCGCTCCTGCAGGAAATGACCCCTGCCTCCAACACTTTTTCTCTCTCGTTAAAGATCATGAGTGCAGGGACCCAGTTCCAATCAGAACTAAAGCACAGGGGGGAGAGAGTTAGGCCTTCCCCCGAACCATTGTCTCAATCTGAAAGGACTCTGGGGAGCCATCATTTGCTGGAGATTTTTTTTAAAAAGGTGACGACTGATGGTACAAAATTGGGTAAAATTATATTTTATTACTCAGCTAAATTAAAAACAAATCCCTGTATGTTGTCAGGGGAATCTGTAATATATAACAACAACACTGAGTTTACATAAATATAGTTTGTTTATTTATATTTATACTTTAGACTTACTATACCGCCCTAACCCCAAAGGGTCTCTGGGCGGTTTACATGATGCGTTCTAAGAACTTTGAAACCTAACTTGGGCCACATATTTTTCTGGGGACGGGGCAGCCTACCAGCACCCAGGTGGTGGATCCTTGTTGTCGTTGTTTTGGCTCGGCATCTTCTTCAGCAGTCTCTGATGGGGTTTTTTGGACGGCAGTCTCCGGTGTCTCCCTTGGACGGCTATCGGCAGGACCGTGTAGGCGCACGTTTCGTGTTCGCTTCCGGCTTCGGCTCCGTCCAGCAAGGCTCCGCCGCGCCCGCATACACACCGTCGCTCGTCACCCGGTCTCCGCCTTTAAGTTAAAAGTATATTATTAAAATATTGTCTTAAAAGTTAAAATCCAGATTCTAAAATGTCAGTCACATACAGAACCGCTAGAGCTTATTCTGTCCTGGAGATGAGGAAGAGAAACTCCTTGTAAAGAACAGAAATAAGACCGTCCAGCACCCAACAGGTTTTGGCTCAAAATTTAAAAAATCTTTTTTGTGCCTGAATGAATGTTACCAACCTGTTCGCCTTGCAGTAGTTCTTCAGCGAAGTAAAAGATCAGAAGGTAATT